TACATAAGGTAAGCCGTCTAAGATTAGACTGTCCCACGATTAAACTAGCTGAATATGTGAGTAGGCATATGACTGCAAGATCACGGTAAAAGGAAAGAAACCAAGGGAAGAGCATCAGTTGCCACTCGCCATCTCTACAGAGCCCCAGCATTTGTTTTCTCTCCCACATGAGCTTCCCAAGCTTTCACTGCTTTATTCAATAGTTGTGGTGAGTTAGAAGATGGACATAGGTCGCTAGCAGCTTGGTCAACTTTCCAGGGATCCTCTATCTGCGAGAGAAAAGGAAAGTTGCAAGCACAGGTTTCCCACCATCAATGTCTCATTTTAAAAATTGGCCCCTTTTCTTCTATAACTTCTCCCATTTCACCCTACACTATCCCATTGGGAGCTTTATGGGTACTGACTATTTTTTCTCTAAACTTTAGTGTCCTGGTGTTTAAAGTCATAAGCGTTTTCACATAGAATTTGTGACAGGTATAGAGGCTACCATCACACTTTTCAAGGCAAAAACAAGGCACTTTGGCTTTCCAAGGTGACCTCCATATTTTTTCTTGAATCCATACCTGCACAAAACACTTGTGAATCGGCTTCCTTTCAACACTTTTTAATCTAATTTATTTATTTTACACCTGACCACAGTTTCTCCTACCTCCTCTCCTCTCATTCCCTCCCTCCACCTCCCCTCCACCCCCAACTGCCTCAATCCACTACTCTGTTTCTGTTCAGAAAGGGACAGGCCTCTTGTGGGTATCAGCAAAGCATTCCATATCAAGTTGTGGTAAGACTAAGCACTTCTTCTTGTATTCAGACTGGGAAAGGAAATCTAGCATAAGAAACAGGCTCCCAAGATCCAGTTAAAGCACTGAACACAGTCCCTGCTCCCATTGCCAGGAGTCCCCACTTATACCAGATGTCACAATGGCACATATATGCAAAGGACCTAGGTAGGTCTAGGGTCATATGCCTGTGGCATTCATCCTCTGTAGCCACAGCCTGAGTGGAGCCTGTGCAGGTGGCTGGAAGCCATGGGCACATGTCAATCACTGTCACACAGACAAGTAGCCCCCTAGAGACCCAAGACAAAAATGAGGACACTAACATGTACATTCCCAAGCAAATACCCTGGTTGTTGGTTCAGACTCTTTGAGTTCCTCTGAGTCAGGTTGTTTGTTTCTGTTGGTTTCCTTGTCATGCCCTTGATGAATCTGGCTCCTATACAGTCTTTTCTCCTTCTCTTAGTGGGATTCCCTGAGCTGGCCTAATGTTTGGGTATGGGTCTCTGCATCTATTTCCATCAGTTACTAGGGGAAGGCTCTTTGATGACAGTTTGGGGTAGTCACCAATCTGATAACAGGCGATGACCAGTTCAGATACCCTCTCCACTATTGCTAAGAGTGCTAGCTGCAGTCATCCTAACTGATTTCTAATCTCTAGGTATTAGCGGAAATCAGTGACTTGGTCTAACTAGATTGTCATGAGGTAGGATTTGGAACTTGCCTGACTGCAGTAAACTACTTAGGTATATTAAATAAATGACTTATCTGTAATAGATAACCATATACAAGCCACCCCAGACCCATTCATTTTATTTTTTATATCAGCACACAAAGTTTGAATATCATTATGGCATTTTCCAAGAAAACATATTACAGTTAGTTGATTCTCCTTGTTCTCCCCTCTCTTCATCACCCCCATCTCCCTCCCTTGCCTGCCTACCTCCTTGTATTCCCTGCCCTCTTTTAGCTTTTCTGTCATATGTATTCTCTTTACTCCCCTTTACTTTCATGCACAAACTTTTTCTTCCTATTGGTTCTTCTTTATAGATGTTTTGACTTTATCTCTGTTTACACCCATTTATAGGTATACATGTACAGATTCGTACTAAAGTATGCTTGTAAGAAAGAACATGCAATTTTTGTCTTTCAGAATTTGGGTCACTTTAGTTAATATTAAACCTCTTTTTATTTTTTATTATATATTAAACCTTCTAAATACATATATTTCCATGCAAATTTTATTTTTCCTTACATCTGAGTGAAATTTCATTGTATATATTCATTAAATTTTCACTATTTATTTCCTTGTAGACATGTATTCTGGTTGCATTTCTTAGCTATTGTAGATAGCTAGCAAAATTCATGGATGTGCAGTGATCTTCTTGGTAAGATACAGAGTTCCTTTGGAAGTATGCTAAAGAATGGCACACCTAGGTCACATGGCACTTTAATTTTTAGAGAACTCTTAATATTGATTAATGTAATTAAGTTACTAGCTTGCATGCCCACCAGCAACGAATATGGGTTAATTTTTCCCTGCATCTTTGGTAATTATGTTCTCACATGTTTTCTTGATGGCCATCATTTTAACTGACATGAGATGGAATCTCAAAGTTGTTTTAACTTGCAGTTCTCTAGCGGTTAGGGAAATGAACTACCTTTTAAAAATGTTTCCTGGTCATTTGTGTTCCTTCTTTGGAAAACTATTCGTGTTAGTAGCCCATTTATTGATTCACAGAAGGCTTTAGCAGTTTAAGTTTTGTAGTTCTTTGAAAAATCTGGGTATTAGTTCCCTCTTTGACATATAGCTGGCAAAGATTTTCTCCCAGTCTGAAGCTATTTACTCCACTGATAATTTACTTTCTTGCAAAAGCATTATAGTTCTACTTGTTAATGTTTGGAGCTCTTCCCTGTGCTATAGTAGTCTCGTTTCAGATGTTTGCTACATCTACCTATATCTTGAAGTGTATCCCATATCTTTTGCCATGCACAAAAATCAATCCAAAGTGGACCAAACATCTTAATTTAAAACCACAATTCATTTTAGGAATCAATTCCTCTTTTTAATCTCATTTTTCCCATTGCACTCTAAGCCACCCATCCATAGCCAAGTTCCTATTTGTCCTGTTTTGTTTTTCTTCTGTCAGGGCTCCATTAAGCTGCATAAGTGTAATTACCTTTTCAGACAACTGCATGAATGGCTATCACGATCACTTTTATTTTATTTTTTACTAGCTTGTTAAGTGGGCATTTTATGTATATTCAGCTATTTCAGGTTTGAATGTGAATTTTTTGGTGCTTCTAATTTCAAATGAAGTACTTTAACAATAAAATCAAGGTCATGGGTAAAGGCTACTAATGGGCTTTCCAGAAAATTGATAAGTACAACACTTAAGTAATATAAGACAACTTCTGTGGCCTTTTTTTTCTCTCGGTTTATATGTAAGCAAAACATACTTGTGAATCAGGGTCACCCTTCAAAACTAATCTCTAGTTTTTAGGATGAATCAGTTGGCTTTTATAATTAAACTGGTATGAGGTGAGGCCCAGAAATTACCAGGCTGTGATAAACCATAATGGTATAATTTCTTTTGCAGATGATCTCATATGAAAGTCCATCCAAACGAAGACAAGGCACAAAATGGTCTTCTCGTAGAACAGCAACGATTCGGGCTCATTCTCTGAATCATAAAATGTTAACTACATCCACTTACAGATTTTCCAATAACCCGAGAACATCACTCAATATGAAAACATTGCAATGTAATCTTGATAAACCAGACAAGTTCATGTACTTCAAGGGCTTATATAGCTGTATGAAAACCAAGAATCCCCCTTTGCCAGTGGAGAATGATTATAGCGACAACAGTATTTAGAATGTGACGGGATTCAATTGATTGTGTTTCTTTAAGGAGTAAACGTGTTCAATACAGATTCCCGACACTTACTGTTTGCTTGCATTTTGTTTTAAGAATCAATTGCATGCAATGACTAATATAGATTGTTATATTATAGGGGAAGGGTGAAGAAGCACACAATACAGAAAAGGAAAGACAGTTCAAAACCTCATAGCCGACAATAAACAATGATAACTTCATTTAAGTCTGAGTATCTTCATTTAATGGATTGCAGTCTATTGCTTCACTTGTCCAATGGAGTGAGAAGAATTACATGGAACTCTTTTGTTCATTATGCACATAACCACTTGCTATTATCATCACATCTTTATAATGAAAAGAAGAGATGCAATATATGCTTGGTATAAATTAAGATAATGATTAAGATCTATTTCTTCACACTTGAAGGTAGTGATACAAGTCTTTAACTACTCCTTTTGGTTAGGATTTAGTAAACATTTGATTCCACTACATTCTCTTGGCCCAAATTTTCCCTACAGATTCCAAATGTCACCTCTAAAGTTTGCATGCACATATTTAATTACTGCAAACCCCAACCTTCAAATAGCACCGAAACACAATGGGAAAATGTTTTAATACAATTTGAACAGCATGAATAAAAAATTTTCTAAGCTTTGGTTTGTCATCTATCTTACATAATATTCTACAAATTAAAGTGTAACTGGGACTAAATCTCTTTATGCTTGTTCACAAAATTGGGTCTGTCCACAAACAAAGCCTTCCAAGTATCAAGGCAAGTTGATCTTATATGTGAATTATTGAGATTAATTATTTATAGGCCTATTGCTATTCCTGCATGCCACCTCTTTTCAGAATCATTTACTTGTACTTATTAAGAGACACTTAGTCAGTTTACTGCTTTGACCTTTAATCAAAAGAAGAAAGGAGGAGATAAGATGCATGAGAAAATTGTTCCCTCTTGGTACTCAGTTGCTAAGTACAAATTAGCTAGCAGTATATGGTTCTTAAAAGTTTGTTTGTTTGCTTGTTTGTTTTTTTTTGAGTCACAGTTTCCTTTGCCTTTATCTTGAAAGCAGTGGACTCACTCTCTCGCCAAATGCAAATCCACATCCCCAGAAAATAATGCTTAAAATTTTAGTCCTATTTTCTCCTAAAGCTTAGCATGACTCTTGAAATGTTCCCTATCTATTTAGAGTAGATTTTAATATTCTGAGCCGTGAATTTTAAATCATATGTTGAAAATACATAATAAAGCACAAGGTATCATTTGTGAGCAAACCAGAGTACAAAAATTTTATTAGTGACAGCTAATTAGAAATTAACAATTAATATATGAATACTCTATTTAAAATTTTATTATGACAACTAGATAACAATTAGCATCAATTAATATATGAAAACGTTATTACTCTAAGACAAAAACATAAAAGACAAGATTATTGCCCTTCATTTATTAGATATATATCATTATAAAAATGCCAGATCAGTAACAATTTAATGCAAATTCTATCTGCAGTTAAATCTAGAATTTAGAGAATGTAATGAACTACTTATTACATTATTATGAGCCATGAGCTGGCTTTTTGAAGTCCATTCCCTGTAGTGAGATGCCTTGCTCAGCCTTGAAGCAGGGGAAGGAGAGACTTGGTCCTGCCTCAACTGAATGTGCCAGGCTTTGTTGACTCTTCATGGGAAGCCTTACCCTTTCTGTGGAGTGGATCAGAGTGGTCGTGGGTAGGGGAGGGGAAGGAGGGGAAGGAGGGGAAGGAGGGGGATCTGTGGTTGGTATGTGAAATGAATAAAAAATAAAACATAAAGAAATAAATTAAATGAATTATGGTTTTATTCCAAATACAACCTGAAGAAGAAAGATACTATGAATAGTAAGATATACTCAAAACTTCAATATTGCATTTTCTAGACTTATCCTTTTCTGACCACCTGTTCCTCATTTTTGTCTAGTTTCACTCTAAGAATAACTTCAAAGTTTACATAGATAATGTGAACCATAATAAATGGATGACATGTTTAGACATATTTGGATTATAGGTATTAAACAGTCCGTATCATATATAGTTCTCTCCCTACATACTTGTAACATTCCTTTTAAAAGAGATTTATTCGCTTGTATCTTTGTGTGTGGGTGTTTTGCCTGCATGTATGCACACCATATGCGTGCAAAGTCAAAGAAGTCAGAAGAAAACATTGGATCTCCTGGGACTGAAGTTACAGACAGTATTAGTCATCATGTAGATGCTGAGATTTGAACCTACGTCCTCTGCCATAGCCATTGCTCTTAATCACTGAGCGATCTCTCCAGGCCCCATCTGTGACTTGTACGTGAGATGACTTTGTGTAACACTTGCTTTTAACTACACTGACTTATTGTTTTCCCCATTCTATGAATAATAAAAGTGCATATTAAGACTGCAGAAACAAATAATGTCTTTAAAATCACCAAATACAAAGTGTGACTACTTTCTAAGTAATCATCTCACAGGAAACCTTCAGGATACAGAAAGAAAGAAAGAAAGAAAGAAAGAAAGAAAGAAAGAAAGGAAGGAAGGAAGGAAGGAAGGAAGGAAGGAAGGAAGGAAGGAAGGAAGGAAGGAATATTACAAAAGTATTTACAAAATGTCATTATAAAACAACTGGGTTTACAAAATGTCATTATAAAATAGACCTGGGTATATGTGTTAACAAATACGCAATCCTAAAGTGAAACAAACACATTAGTCAACATTCATAGATTCACATTTTATATTTCATTCTTGATTAGGTGAAAAAAGTACTTATAACTCTGTACTGAGCATGGCATGTACATTTCTCTGTTTGATTGATGCACAAATAAATTAAAACATTTCCCCTGGATATCATCACATTATATAACAATCATATATTTCTCAAAAGGGGCATCTTATTCTGGTTTTCTACTGCCACTAATAGTAGGGATTTCGTGGTCAGTCTCCTTTGAAGGTTCAGTCATGTCTTTATATCTCTCCCCACGATGTTTTTCCAGGTATGGGCCCCAGTTAGAAGCTGGTCTACAGCAGCTTATAATACGCTGAAAATCAACCAAAAAAATCTTGTATTAGAATTTAAGTGCTATCATCTCTTTTAAAAAGCAAATGTTAAACTACACTTTTATTGTAAGTACCTTTGCTAGCACCACTGATATAGCAATCAAAGAAAAGTAATGTAACAGCCTAAATTCTTAAAATATCACCGAACAAGAAATTATAGACAAAAATTTTGTTCCAAATTGTTAATTGAATTATTCTACTAAATCAAAATGTAATGATTTAAGAAGAAGGGTATATGAGCCCATTAGAATAACAATGTTATTATAGGCAGCTTTCCTAAATTCATTTCAGTCCTTGTCACAGAGGGTCAGATGTGCACTGGAATATGTTTCAAAAACTGAGATAAGGTCTATTTATTTGAATTTTTTGGATATGCATAGGAATTTATTGAAATTAAGTCTCCTAAGCTTATCTTGTCATTATTCTAGTATGAGATTTAACTCTTATCACCCTAGGCCTCTGTGGAAGAGAGGCCTACAAAAGATGCAAGACAATTTAAGCTCATTCAGTTTAAATATACTATTAGGATTCATATTATAGCCAGATGAAGATTCAAAAGTGATTTCAAAAGAAACAACTGAGTTACATGCTTTTTGACATCTACAAGGATGATTGGACAAACAAAGAGATCACAATTGTTACACGCTGAAGAGTGTAATAGAGCCTGAGGAAACAGAAACGAATATCTACAAAAAACTGATAATAAAATACAAGTAGATATACAAATTATATTACCATATGTATTATTTATTATCATATATTTTTATAATACATATATATATAATATAATGTCAAGCATTATAATACTGGATGTAGAAATAATCAGAGGGAAGGAAGAGTAATTATTTTCAACCCATGTACTCTCTTATCTCTTCTACATTATTATCTACCTTTTATCACAAGTGCTTATATAAAATAAGAATTCAGTGTGCTTACCTGAATAATATTTCCTTCAGCCTGGATTATTTTTATGATTGCCATAATTGGTATCCAAATTATGCAGAAAATAATCATACACCAGCCTAGGGCAACTCCCCAGTCAGGATATGGAATATCACCATAATCAGGTCTGTGAAATTTCACCAGTGACCAGACTAGAATGGCCTAAGAATGTAAAGCATTAAAAAGACGATAAAGACTAGACTTGGTGCTATTAATGAGTCATAATTTAAAGTTTATCAAACAATAAAATGAAGCTATAATTAAGGGATTAAGATAAATGGATAACAAGTCAGAAGATAAAAACATAAAGTAAACCAAATTTCTAGTTTTACTTAGAGAAATTTTGAAAATTTAAAGCCACCACTTAATAGAGTTCTCTATCCCTCACTCCATAACTCAAATTTAAACACATGGTACTGGCACACGTTTAGCAAAGCATGATTCCCTCCTAGGCTCTTGACCACAGAAGTTTGATGTAAGTTCAAGCAGTGTGGCATCTGAAATCTCAGCATTCAAAGGATGGAGGAAGAAGGATTAGGAGTACAAGGTAATGCTCAGTTACATATTGATTTCAAGGCCACCCTGAAATACAGAAGACATTCCCTCAAAAAAGGAGGATAAAATTCGATAAACACTTCTCAACCTGTGGGTCTCGAACCTCAGGAGTCCATGAACCCTTTTACAGTGGTCACCTAAGACCATTGGAAAACACAATTATTTAGATTACAATTCTTAATAGTAGCAAAATTACAGTTATGAAGTAATAATGAAAATAATTTTATAGTTGGCTGGTCACCACAACATGAGGAACAGTGTTAAGTAGTCAAAGTATTAGGAAGGTTGAAAGTCACTATTTTAAATGACTTTTAGATATTTTTCAAAATTGACTAGAAATAAGTAAGACATTTTGGGAAAGTTCTGGAAGTTAATCTCTGACTTAAATTATTCTTTTGCAAAAATAAAGGTATATTTTATTGTTTAACTGATACATATATACACACATGCATGCGTAACACACACTTACGTATGTGAAAAGAAGAGAACCAGATGGAGCCAGTGAGGGAATTATTGAGAACAAAGTAAAATTGTCCATGTATACACACATATGAAGGTTCATGTATTTACTAACTTAAACTTAATTTTTCAAAAGCTACCAATCAGGCCTAATATAGGGAAAAGTCTTTAATCCCTGTCTTCAGGAGGCAAGCACAGGCAGATCCTTGGGAGTTCAAGGTCAGCCTGATCTACCTAATGAATGGCAGAATTGTTAGGGCTACATAGTAAAACTCTATCTCAAAAAAAAAAAGCCTGTTACCAACCAGTACTCAAGGAACACTAGGAATATATTTTCTTTCTGTGTTTTAATCTATTTCAAGGCTCATCCAAGGAGACACAGTCTGCCAAAAGTGTCTCAATGCTGTAAAGATTCAGCTCTTGAACTTTCAGAGACACGTCCATTGTGAATACTCCCCCAAGAGATTGAAGTCTAACTTCTATGAGTTTGAAGTACATGTGCATCTTTTGGAGATCACTTGGGAAGCTGAGAGAAATCTTTATTGCAAGCTTTTGCAGTATCCTATAAGGTGGTTGATTAGAATAGTAATTAAAGAGTAGCTTAGAAATGAGTGTACTCTGTTCCGAAGAGAGGGATATTGGAGTGTTATCAGAAAATTAAGAAAAAAATGACTCCAACCAAGGTGTCTTAGTGTGCAAGCCAGACTCCCATCAAGATGGAGAACTGGAGTTCAATCCTTGGAAACTACATGGTGAAAAAAGAGAACTGACTCCCACAGGTTGTCCTCTGACAAAGAACACTCCTTCCCTCCACCCTCTCTCTGTAGATTGAAAAATAAGTGATAGAACAGCTGAAAATATAGAAAAGCAGAGGACGACATAGTGAAATGGAATGGCCCATGCATAGCTACCCAGTGTGGGGAAGAGAAAGAGAAGCCCAATCTAAGTGACAAACCATAATACCCTGATAAAAGAGTCTGACAATCCTAATCATATCTCAAGCCAAAGGTTCTCACAAATCTTGAATCTGTTTATAGCATTTGGTGAAACAGTGACTCATCCTGTGTCACTATTGAAGAGGAAATCTATTTTGTTATTCCCCCAGTCTTATAGGGAGCATGACTGAGGCCCAACTAGACTCAGTTGTCCCCTCCAGTTATATGCAATAGACCCCAACCACTTAATTATTGCTGACACTTGCAGCCCCAAGCCAAATTCAGTGGACAACCCAATGTCTGTATATCTCATGTGTTACTGCAGGCAAGGCTGAAAGCTTCCTGAGATTCTGGCCAAGCTGAATTTTCATCTTCTACCCCTTTCTGACAATCCCCTAAGATGTTTGAAATTTATCAGGATTTCAAAACACTGAGGTTAGTCTTCAGTACCTGTCTCAGTGACAAACTTACGGTTTGAACATTAGCCACCCTGCATATGAAAACTAGAGATTTTGATCCATGGTTGAATCTGCCCATGAGTTTCAAAACTGAGTGTAGCTAAAAGAGGCTCCTGGTATACACAAAAGGAAAACTCCTGAAAAGAAATAAGTATTACTAGATGTTTGATGCTGAACTGGCTCAGGATAAGCCTACAAGGTAAGAAACACAGGAGACTCCATTTAATCCACACCTCTAGATAGCAGATTATAGATGAAAGAAAACCAGAAAGAAGGGGTGTTTTAATACATTGTAATCTTTTTTGGAAAATATAAACAATGGAAATTTATCAAGTCATAATGAAGAATGAAAATACAATATTTGCAGAAAGTAAGTAGAATTGAAGATCATTATGCTAAGCAAAATAAGGTAAAAATCATCATATATTTTCCATTATGCAGAAGGGAATACCACTCAGTGGCAGACTGCTTCCTGAGATAACAAACGGTCTACTTGCAATCACCAGCAAGATTAGAAAAGAAAGGGTTAAGAAGTCTATTTATATCTCATAAGTTTACAGGATTCTTATTATATTGAAAAGACTTTTCAAATAAGAACAATGATATTTAAAGACATCTAGCAAAGCTAGACACATACACATGTTTAGATTTTTCGAATATAATCCTACTCACTATTTAAAAGTGATATCAAATATTAAACACAAAATCTAATACATCCATCAACAATGAAATATTATGCCATATAAGTGAATCAAATGTAACTATTCCATGATGTTCTCTAAGAAATTCTTTGAATGTTGTGAGAGCAACAACAGATGTTTAAAACTATGATACTCTCCACTTGTGTGATTAACTCTGGGCAGCAAAAATTCTCCATCTTGAGAACTGTTCAATTTTATCACTCAGGAGCCTAATCTACTGGACCATTCTTTGATGATCTTGTATCTATATATCAAAGATAATCAAGAAACCATCGTTTACTTTTCCTCATCTCCTAAGTAGTGTCTATCATTAAATTTATCATATAAACCATTGCATATATTGACACAAGTGAGTTTCTTCTAGCAATTTAAGATAAGAAATACCTCATACATCAACTAAAATGTATACTGAATGTTATTAATATCTTAATTTTATTTTTTAAAAAATTATTTAAAGACATCATCTAGCTATGCAGTGGTGGAGTATGCCTCTAATCTCAACACTCCGGAGGCAGAGACAGGAAGATATGTGTGAGTTTGAGGCCAGTCTGGTCTACAAAGTAAGTTTCAGGACAGTCAGGACTATACAGACATGTCTCAAAAACCCAAAACAATAAAAAAAAATAAGAAAATGAAGAAAAATCAGGCTTTGTATTTTCTGGGAGAAAAGTTAAGAAATGGCTCACCATATATTTTAGAGAATGAGTAAATTTATGATTTGCTTTTGTTTATCCTACTAATGATTTCATCCTATTGGTCATTTTAAGTTGTTGATACCTTTAATTCTATAGAGAGCTATTTTTGTCTCAAACGTGCAATGTTCAAACCCATGGCACCAAAAATAATATTGCCAAGCGCATTTTAATTCAGACAATGTGAAGGCACTGGTAGTGAAACTAGAAACTTGTAAACTATTCACCCCCCAAATTATTTACTTGTTTTCCCTAATGGGAATTATTCATCAAATTCCTTACTAACATTCAAAGGTATGAGATATTTTATCGATACCAAATTCATTGTATATTGTTACTTACAGATAGCAGGATAGGCGTGATGACAAACCAGCAAGCTCTCCACCAGAGCCAGAATATCCATCTCTTTGCTCCAATCATCATTTCTATGTCTTCAATGAATCTATTCCCTCCTAGGGAAAACAATTCCACATGATGAGCCCTTTCTTACACGACTCCTTGGAGATTAACATACATATTATCTTTTTTTCATTTAAGCACCTTCCTAAAAGTCATTAGTGAAGTCATTACCTGGAATTCCATCTCATTCATAATGTATTTTGCTCAACAGATCACATTTTACTATTATATGTGCTACTAAAATTGGATGATTACATTTTCTTTTTTGTATTTTAATGTTTTGTTTTATTTTTTATTTTATTGATTTTATTGAGGTCTACATTATCTTCCGGTCCCCTCCCTTCCTCTCCCTATCCCTTCAACCCTCCCCCAAGGTCTCTAATGAAAAAGAGTCAAATGATACTGTATAAGACTTATAAACAAATCCGCAATCACCATTTACCATAAATCCAGATGATTCCTAAAATTTCCAAGATAGCTGCAATCAAAATGCCCCATCCAGCACAGAAGTGATCAATCAAATGAACCCAGTAAATTCCAGCCTACAGAAAACAAAACAAAAACAGAAAAACAAACTCATACCAGTTATTTACAACCATATTTTCACTATTTTTTTAAAGTGTTCAAATAGAATACATTCTTAAACAATATATAAAAAGTATGCTTTGTGTATAAACTCAAACATGTGTTTAATTGCTTAAAATGCCAAACAGTTTTTTTGTATAATATGCTATGACAGTGACAAAATGCAAGCATTTAAAACACATGATTATATACATGGCACATAGTATCTATGAGCTCTGTAATGGCCAAGAAAATTACAATCTTGTTACTTGGAAAATTGTCATCATTGAGCCTTCTCCTCTGAAAAACATGTGTTAGCAAAGTTACAAAGAAGAAAATGGTTGATACGTGGAAGGCACCATAAATACAAATTGGACCTGTAATGAAACACCTCCTTGAGTCTTAACATATTTGTTTAGATTTAAAAGTATAGTCTAACTAATACTTGTCTACAGAAGTTAAAAGCTAAACTGTACCTGAGTCACACAGACGAGACCAAGGAGAAACAGAACCAAGCAGCAGCCCAACGTTATAGGAGCTCTCATGCGTTTCATTGCTTTGGGAAACAAATCTTGAATTGTTGTTGTAATTGTTTCTAGAGGAGTGGAAAATGGGTTATTACATTTCAACTGAGTAAGACTAATACAGAATTCAATATCTATTAATCAAATTCATACATATAAACTGGGAGTATTCTCTGGAAATTGCTCTTTTATAAGTCAAGAAGGTTCTCTCTCACATTGTTTTGTTGTTTGTTTTTCAAGACAGGGCTTCTCTGTGTATCTTTGGTTGTCATGTAACTCACTCTGCAGACCAGACTGACCTCAAGCTCACAGAGATTCACCTGCCTCTGCTTCCTGAATACTAGGATTTAAAAGTCCTGTGCCACCACTGCCAGGCAAGGTCTTTTCTCTTAGTCCCTGGATTTAGTTACCAGCAGACAGAAGAAGGAAGGAAGAGAGAGAAGTGAGTGCAGCACATGGAAAAAGAGAAGGAGGAGGCAGGGGAGAGAGGGGGAGGAAGTGGATTATGGGAGTTAGCAAGGCAGGCCAGAGAGATAGAAGGACAGAGATGAAGAGATAGGAAGCAAAAGGTGTGGGAGAAGGAGGAAAGAAAGGAGTAATAGTGTCTTCTAAACAGGAACTTCTCTAAAAGTAGAAAAATACATAAGCCAAAAGATCACAAGAGATATATTTGACATTTTTGAAGACTTTGGAAATCAACCAGACAAACCTTGAGTTTGTCCTATAATAAACTAAGAAAATGTGTTATGTAAGACAATGATATAAAAGTTGTTTCAAAATTTTTAGTTGTATGCCTTAGAGAAATTTCTTCTGTGTATATAGAATCATATGTATGAAATGTTATCCCATCAGTGTGTATAATGTGTGTGCGTGCTCAGTCACAAATGGGACACACACACACACATGCACCAAGACCCCAAGGATTAGGAACCATCACAGAAGAGAGGACAGAAAGATTTGAAGAGCCAGAGGTCATAGAATAAGACTGGTACAAGTGTTTTCTTCTGGTCATGACAGAACCAATGCCCTCCTGAACTCACGGCGGCTGTGGCTGTCTGCACAACATCAAGTCAATCAATAACCCAGTCTAGAGTGGGAGGGGTCATGTGTTCACACCCTTAGCTGGAAAGTTAGTGACAGTTGACGACTCTTAGTTGAGAGTGAGAGTCAGTTTTCTGTAAAGGTGTGACAGTTGGTAGATCACCCAAGCTCTAGGAGATGGCCCCATGCCCACTATGTATATGGGCAGGAAAACTGGACTCAGCGGCTTATTAAAGAAAAAAAAGAAGACATGAGGTCTGGAAGGATATAGATGCAAGGTGGATCCGGAAAAAGTCAGGGTGAATTTGATCGAAATACATTGTATGAAATTCACAAAGAGCTAATAAAAATAAATTTTCAAATTTGTTTCAAATTTTCTAGCTGTATACCTTAAAGAAATTTCTTTTGTATATACAGAGTCATACATAAGAAGAGTGCCTTCATTGTGTGAAATTTGTGGGATTTGTGTGTGTTTGAGCATATGCAAGGACATGTGTAGGGATGCATGTACACATGTGTGTTCCATGTAAGTGAGCAGAGATCAATCTCATTTATTGTTTCTCAAGTGTTTTCCATCATTTTTTTGAGACAGAATTTGTCACTGAACCTATAGCTCACAAATGGACTCTACTGACTATCCCATGACTCACCCCCTCCAGGGATGCTCCCATCCCCATCCCTCCAGCACTGGGATTATAGGGGTGTACCACATTGCCCAGATTTTATAAGGATACAGGAGCTCGCACTAAGTTCATGATGACTGAACAGCAATTGTTTTTCCTCCTAGGACAACTCCCCAGCTGCAGTGTGCAGAGTTTTTAAAAGAGGAATCAAGCCAGGCGGTGGTGCATTCCTTTAATCCCAGCATTTGGGAGGCAAAGTCAGGCAGATCTCTGTGAGTTCCAGGACTGCCTGATCTACAAGAGCAAGTTTCAAGACAGCTGGGGATGTTACACAGAGAAACTCGATCTCAAAAAAAAAAAAAAGCAAAAACGAAAATCAATAAAAAAGAGGACTTAAAATACCCATCAATAATGTTATCAATTAAAGATCCATATGCCTTGTTAGAGTAGTATATATACCATAAAATATCATACTCAAATGAAATGGTTAAATAACTTATGTTACTGATGAGCATATGTTAAATGTGTGTGTGTGTGTGTGTGTATACACATTCATGATGTGTGTATACACATGTGCATGCAGACACAAATGAACCAATTTATTGCCTATCTAAAAATTGAGAAATTGTTAAAGAGAGTTTTATTAAAACTCTCTCAAGCAAGAATCAAGTTTTCAGGGAGAAATAAAGTTGTCGAGGGAACTGTCCCCAGGTACAGAGGGCAGGAAAGAGAAAATAGTAGCTATTTTTTCATTGTTTTCTAAAGTATACATTGAATTAAGAAACAAATACAAAATTCTGACTAAAGGGACCAAAAATGACTCCCTCTAAAATATTTATCCAGAGAAAATATAATAAAACATTAAAATTTGAGGTTTTTAATGTCAATTGTGTAAATATATTGTGTTTTGTGCATTTAATTTTTAAGTTGAAATAACTCATAAAAATTCTTCTCTTAATAGCACCTGAAAGAGATACTAGAATAATAAAACATGTTTTCAAATAAAGGAATCAGGAATAAAATATCAGAGTTATTTAACACAAAAAGTATTACTTACCAATAGAAGCAAATTGAGAATCCAGACCCAGTGTTAAAAGCATGAAAAAAAATAATATGGACCAAAATGGACCAGCTGGGAGTTGGGCTAGAGCTTCTGGATAGGCAATGAATGCCAAATCAAATCCTAAGAAAAATGTAGAATATTTTAAATTAATTGCCAAGTAAATTTACACATTTGAACATTTTCAAAGTAATGTACTTTTAAAATCTCATCATTATTTGACAATGCAATTTATGAATGTACACTCTTTACCAATTAAATTCTTAAAATGTTTTATTTAGAGGTCAGAGAGATGGCTTATTGAGTAAAAGCACTTGTCATTTAAACTTGATGACCTGAGATCGATCTCTAGAATCCATAGTAGAAGACAAAAACAGATTTTTGAAACTTGTCCTCTGTTGTCCACACAAACACTGTGACCTGCACATCCCCTCACTCACTCCCTTCATTTCTCTCCCTCCCCCTCACTATATATATCTCCCTCCACCCATCCCTCCATTTCTCTAATACACAGTAATAATAAATATACAAAATGTTTGAATTGTTAAGCTAATGTGAATGTGTGACATGAATTAAGCTAATACAATTTTGTTCATGAAAGTTGTTTTAGAATATTATCACATGTACTCACTCATAAGGGGCTTTTAAACATAAAGCAAAGAAAACCAGCCCACAAATCACAATCCCAGAGAACCTAGGCCACAATGAGGACCCTAAGAGAGGCAGACATAGATCTCATCTACATAGGAAGTAGAAAAAGACAAGATCTCCTGAATAAATTGGGAGCATGGAGATCATAGGAGAGAGTTGAAGGGGAGGGGAGAGGCAGGAAGGGGAGCAGACAAAAATGTAGAGCTCAATAAAAAATCATTAAAAAATTTAAAACTTTTAACATTTCAATGTTTTTCAATGTTTTAATTTCTCTCTCTCTCTTTCTCTCTCTCTCTCTCTCTCTCTCTCTCTCTCTCTCTCTCTCTGTGTGTGTGTGTGTGTGTGTGTGTGTGTGTGTGTGTGTGTGTGTGTGTGTTCACTCATAAAAGAGTTCAGGAATTCAAGTGCCATAGCTTGTATGTGCAAAGAACAACTTTGGATGTTGATCTTTGCTTTCTGTCTAGTAAAAATGTGGTCTCTTTGTTTTTCTGCTGGATATTCCTAGGTGCTGGCATTATCTTTAGGTCTCTTATCTTTGCCTCTTATCTCTCAGTTGAAATTCTGGTATTACAGATTTCCACACTATACAGAGGCACACTACACATACATGAACTTGGGAGATTTGAACTCAGATCCACATTCTTAGATAGCAACGGATTTTATCCAGTCCCTAATCAACTAATGGAAGGTGTAATGTTGCACACCTGTTATCCCAGGACTTGGGGTGTGGGGTAAAGGAGGAGCAGGAGTTCAAGGTCATTCTCCACCCCATGCAGAGTTTGAAACCAGGCTGGGCTGCATGAGACCATATCTCAAACAACAGTACCAAAAATATCAGTGAAGGAGAAGAACATATTTCTTAAATGACAAAATCTTAAGTTTATCTTATTCTAAAATTTATAAAAAGTAAAATGAAATGAAGTTGAACTATCTAGAAAAATACATATATGGAATGGGTTTTATGGTTGTTGTTGCTTTTTGAGACAGGGGCTGTCTATGTTCTAGAATTTATTATGTAGACCAGATTGGCCTCAAATTCAAAGAAATCTCTACCATCCTCTACCTTCCTGGTGCTAGTATTAAAAGCATGCACCACCATGTCTAGCTGGAATGAATCTAAGTCTTCTGCCATCTTATCAAATGTTTACCCAGAATTATTGTGAGTAATAAAATTTCAACGTAATTATTATAAGTAATAGCATTTCAGTTTACAGATACCTGCAAAATTGAATATAACAAAGTTCTAGATGGAATCTCATCTTCAAGTCGATATTACTTTTAAAAAACACTTTGTAGTTTGTTGACTTTTTTTCTATGTGACCCTCAGTTTTAGGTATTTTCGGTTTCTCTGACTTCCCAGAGGACAGAAATAGAATTCATAGCATTGACTTTTAAAGTAGGCTCTATCACTTTCTAAATATTTGCACTTGTGCAAGACATAGTGTTTGTGTGTACCACTGAACTTTAAGGAAATGGACACAAAATGATCTCCAAAATCCCTTCTAATACAGGGCTTCTACTATCATCCATTGGTGTTCCTGTTATATCAAACTAAACATAATAAGAGTTCCCAAGCAGTTCCTGCTTAAGAATCCTAGGACTCTTTTTCCACCAGACTTTAGCTGGGTAGTAAGCATCCCTTAACTATTGCCTGCAAGGTTAGAAAACTCATTAATCAGATTCCTTGAATGCTGGACTCAATTATGCTCCGAGTCACTTTAATATTCCTATTACATTGATAAGGTTAAAAGTTCAAACTCAATACTGTATTTTCACACGGGAAAATGTCATAATTGTTTCTCTCATAAAGCATAGAATTGTGCTGAGTGGTTCATACTAAGGATAAGTAAAAATACAGAAAAGAAAGATGTCTTTATTTCATATATTTAGGTACTCTCATGTAGCCTCAGCTGGCCTCGATTTTTCTCAGTAGATGAGGTTAGTCTTCAACTTCTATTCCTCCTACCTCGACTTCCTAAGTGCTGTGATTCCATACATGCATATGACATAACACATGGTTTCTGAGGTACTAGGGAAAAAACTCAGGGCATAGTACTTGCTTGACAAGCACTCTCCCAATTGAACTCTGTTCCCAACATTATGTCTTTTTAAATAACTGCTCCCTAAAATGCTTTTGTGTTTTCAGATCTTTTAGGAACCATTACATTAAAATGCATTGTGTCAGATGGACCAATAAATACAATAACTCTAATCATAAGTATAGATGCCTGTAAATTGGACCAGAGTTTCATAAGTGAGCTATATTCAATTAATTCAAAGGAGCATCCAGAATTGTATACCTGATTTCACAACTTGAGAGACTTCCTTTCCAGATATATGAGCCATGTGCCCCAATATAGAAAAAATCGCAAACCCAGCAAACACACTAGTGAGGCAGTTTGTCAAGCAAACTACAATGGCATCAGAGTAACAGTTGTTGTTAAACTTGTTGTAAGATGATAAAGCGACTAGGCCACCCCAAGCGACAGAAAGGGAATAAAATATCTGGGTAGCAGCATCTTTCCAAACCTGTAAGATAAATTTTAAAAACTTTTAAACATATGCACTTAAATTTAACTCATAGAAAAGAGTATACAAGTAAATATAAATGCACATTAAAAAATAATGAAATGAATGCCGAAATGTCAACCATCAAGAGGAAGAAAACAATGGTATGGGCTTTTTATTTTGTGTGTGTGTTCTTTATACTTCAGGAGTAACTGTGGGCTGCAACCCTTGCATATCATATATTTACATTATGATTCATAACAGTAGCAAAATTACAGCTATGAAGTAGCAATAAAAATAATTTTATGTTCACCACAACATAAGGAACTGTATTAAAGGAAAAGTTGAGAACCATTGCTCTATAGCATTGGCAACATTTCATCATTTTTTTTCTTGTTTGACCTAATCTAAAGGCTTTAAATCAAGAGTCCCGATTAGACTCATTACTTACCAAAATTAGCATTTTCCACAGTGTAAAGATTGTTCTGTCTCTTTAAGAGACAAGCCACGCCCACTCCCTTTCCATTTTGCTGAGAAGTGCTGAACTGCAGCTTCCAGGCTGAGTCCTCTCTCTTTTCCTTCTCTCTCTTAGAGAGACAGCTTCCCTCTCTCCCTCCTCTCCTCTCTCTCTCCTCTCTTTCCTCTCTCTCTCTCTCTCTCTCTCTCTCTCTGTCTGTCTCTCTCTCTCTCTCTCAATGGTATTTGTATAGACCTTGCTGATCTGCAACACCATACATAGAGCTCACAGAGATCTGTCTGCTTCTGCTTCTAAAAGTATGTGGTGGAATTTAAGTTACGCATACCACACCACACCCAGGAATTCATTTTTGAAACTGAATTCTAGTCTTTGGTGTGTTGGATTTCTCAAGGGCTTTTTCCCTTCCCAACGTGTTGCTTGTTTTTTGTCCTCTTTTCTTTGTGTCCTTCAATGAGCCAAAGTATTTTTGCTATTGCTACTTAATGTAGCTGAAATTATTCACCTGTGCTTACCTGTACATTTCTTCATCTGTGTTGTCTGCAAACAAAGCTAAGCTCAAGATTATAAGGATGTTATTCTGTATTCTCTAAATGAAACAGTTTTGTTTACAATATCAAATTTTCAATTTCCCTCCAATTTATTTTACACACATTAATTGCACATCTGTTACACACAATTTATGCTACATGTATTTCCACTTCACATTATTTTCAATTTTTAAGGATAACTGATGCTACAAATTACATCAATGACATCTAATGGATCATCCATCCTTTTCAGACTGAAATGAATTGTTACCTCTGCTAAATACCAAACTTTGTTTCTTGATAAATATATTTTTGAGCTTATTATTCTGTACCATCTCTCTATATAACTGTTCCTATGCTAAAACCACATGATTTGTGCTTTTTGTAATACTGTCTTTTGTCTGACATGAGAATTTCTCCACACTTATCTGTGCTGGGACTTAGGTTGGAATTTTATTAATTCTATATGTCAATGTGATATTAAAACCACATTAATTTTTAGCAAGGGTGTTACTAGACAGCCCAACCTGGCTCTGTGTCTTTGTCTAATTCCACTCCTTTATCATTACTGACATCAGAATTTCCCCCTCCTTCCTCTTTGTGAAAAGCCGACAGTTAAGTCAGAGATTTACTCAGGTTCATTTATTTTAAAATTGGAATTCTTTGGATATAATATCAACCAAAAGAGAAAAAAATGACTTGTGTAGATTGCAAACAACAGGACTAATTTATATTTGGCCAAAAGTGTCTTTTCAGTCCTCAAAACCTCACAGAGGTCAGTGGAAGGTAGACTGAATAGTGTGACCATATGCCACTAAAAATTCTGGTTCTAGAATTAAAAGGAATAAATTTACATCCAAATCATTCATGCATGTCATTTTAATTTAACTTCTTCAACTCATTGGTAGGTACAAGCAATAATAATGATGATTAAAAGATACTCCATGGTAATGATAATTGTTATTATGAGAAACAACCATAAAGTAATTTTAGTATATTGTAGTGATCTTAAAAACATTAAATTTTCATTTTCAAATAATTCGATAGAAGCAAGTTTCCTAGAGAATAAAATTTCACTGGGTCTATAGAATATACTTTTTATGCTAGATTATAGTAAATATGTATGAAGGAAGATAGGTAAATAGGTAAATACATAGATACATACAGAGAGGAACACATAGACAAAGATATTTTCATTTAGATATTAATAAATCAAGTTTGAAATGAAATATCCTTATTTATTTGGTTGCCGTCCATCTTAGGAGATGAACTGCATGCTTATGTTGATCTCTGAGTCTCTGTACTTAATATGTTATGCATGCATAAATGATTTAAGAGGACCTGAGGTGGATGAGTCAGATCAGTGTTGAGAAAGAACACTAATCTGAGGGAAGCTATTATCACTAGCAAACCCAAAACACATGGAATGTGGTCATTTGCTATGGGGAGTGGAGGACTAAATTGCATGTTTCACAAGGAACTTTAAATGCAGGTCTGATTCTTTTTTAATAATAGAGACACAGAAACAGAGACAAAATGCATATGAAAACTACAAGATAGTTTCAAGGGAGTATAAAAGTCAAGGGTCTGAGACATATAAAAAGCCACATAAATGTATCAAAGTGGCTTTTCATCTGTGACCAAAGCTTTGAAGTTTAAGTAAAATGCACACTTCTTAGGGAAAATGAAGTAACCAGACTATAATGCACCATCAATAGTTAAAATAATTGTACTCTAGTTCACATTTGCCTGAGTTTTCTAATTCCACAGTTTATTAACTTATCATGCTTAATAACCTAATGAAAAATGTTTACCTAGTTGGGGATGAATTAGTAAACAACGTTAAAACGAGTAAGGATTAAGACTTAAGGTGCCCTGAGGACACATCAAAGAACTTAAATCTCCAAGACTATAATAATAAAGTGCCATGGCTTTAAAATAATTAGAAATGCTGTCGTTAATCATTGAGGGAAAATTATTGGGCACAGCAAAAGAAAACAAAAATCAGAAATTTGCATTTCAACTTTTCAAGTTAAGTAATAGATTTCCATGACAGAAACTGATCAACTTGACATTGGTTACAGAAAACCTCTATAATTAAATACATATCTGATTTTAAGTATTTAAAAAATTGTCAATGACTGGAAGTCGGCATGTTTTTAATGTAATAGACAATAGAAACCTAAAACTATCCATTTTGAATAGCAATACTAATGTGGCAGATAATATTAGCATAGGTTTCCCCCCTCAATTTTAATATACGATTAAGAGTAAGCTTAATTTGTGACAAGAATTTTATGTAACTTCTAAAAACATGTAAGCCTCCTTGGGCAATATCAATAGAATAAAATTTAACCTTGTCTTTGACACAATAGCTTTACATTTAAATATTAAGAAATAAAGTTAGAAATGAAATATCCTTATTTATTTGGCTGCCATCCATCTTAGGAGATGTATATAGTAGACCATCAAATTTTTTCTGGCATTCTTCCCATAATCATAGCTCTTAATTTATAGGTGTTAAGATATGAAATATTCTTTTATTCAAAACAGTGAAGCCCCAAATCTGTGGTCAAATAGAATAAGTTACAGTGGTACAGTGAGTTTTAAGACTATCACTAAAATTGATTTTACTTCATTGATGAGAGTTTTAATGCTGTTACATACTTTTGTCAGATATTCTAGTGGATAAAAACTAATTGTTTAATTGCATATGCTCTTGGGAAATACCATAGAATAATACACACACACACACACACACACACACACACATGTATATGGAACAAATTTTTTATATTTAGCTTTAAGTTTTAACTTCTCAAGTAATTTTGAATGTTCTTAAGTCTTACCTCAGCTTCTCTGAGTTTTGTAAAATTTGACTGTGCTCCAATGTAATATGAAATGCCTTTTGATGCACCCTCCAAAGTTGCACCTCGTATTAACAGAATTAGGAGAACCACATATGGGAAAAGAGCTGTAAAATATACCACCTAACAAACAAAACAACTAAAAGTTAATGCCACTTTAAAATCATGGCATATAATTTTCTATGAGCAAAATTAACAACCAGTTGCAATCTGTCAAATAATTTACTTCAGGTTTTAAAATGTAAGTAAGTCCAATAACACCAATACCAAGTTTAGGATAATTTCCTTTCTATATTCTCACCACTCCAAAAATAGATCCATGTTTGAAAGTACTTTGATGTAGGGAGCAGTATTTCTAAGGTTCCCACTGTAAACAAACACAGCAGTGATCACGTGAGATCTAAATGGAATGCTGTCCTATGTGGATCCTTATATATGGCTGAGGAGACTGAATGTCTCTTCAGTAAACTGGGGTGAGAAATGTAAAACTGGTAATGGTGAGTACATTCAGTCCCCAAGGACAAGGAAAATATCTTCTAGTACATGTCCAGAGCTCACAAAAGCTTCACTAGAGTAAATACAGAGCACACTGAATACTTGTTACTTAAAGCTACTGTTAAGAGAGGCTGATAAGATACACATAGGCACACGACTCTTGTCTTAGATACCACTGGGTTTCAGACGATTAGATTGCCCTTGAGGCTGGCTATAATAACGTGTAATTTTTTGAACCATAGATATCCTATGTTTCATAATATTCCCAATGTGTTGATTTAAATAACTCACCCAAGACACCAATAAATTCCAATTGCTTAATTAAATTGCCTTTAATGGACTTTTTGTCAGAAAACTACTGCATCATAAAGGAACCAAGGGTTTAAAATGTACAAATGAAGCGTATAGGAAAGTTGCCACTGAAGTTTTACAAAGTATTTGTAGCATTTTTTTTTTCAAGAAATCATGAGTGACATTGCATTCACATTAATTCAACATGCTGGCTACTGTACTAGGAAGATGACAATAAGTGTGTGCAATTATTCCTACCCTTGAACTTTTAAGCAGCATCACTCTGATCAGCTAAAAATGTATAAAAATACACTTTTCTGGGTAGTATGCAATTCTTCACAGGAAACCGTTTCAGTTCTTCTTTTAAGTTGCACCTAAGCTTTCTGAAGTTTTTTTTTTCTTTTTAAGCATGAAGGGGGAAACACAAATGCTATGCAGAAAAGGCCCATTCAACGACAAAGAAGAGTCTTACTCCATTGGAAATGATTAATTTAAAGGAATGGTTGTGTATTATTTTCTCTGTGTCTTCAACTGATGATGTTATCCTAGAAAACATTCTACAATTCTACAATTCAAGCTGCTTACTGTGGGACAGAAGCGTTTAAAATATACTTTCAAGCCCCAGAATGCTGTATTCGCTAATAGAGTCTGAGTTTTAAACAATTGCACAAGGATTGTATTCATTTTGCTTTGCTTTTAACAATAGAACTTACCCCATGTTTATGCATGAAACAAGAATGTCTTATGTAGAAAGGCTTTCAAGAATTTGAATGTTCCTATTATACAAAACTCTATTAATATTTTTAAATTTGATGCAATGAAGTTGCGTCACTAATGTGACTTCCAACTTACTTTACCAGAGGACTTGATTCCTTTAAACAATGCTGCTCCAACTATGAGCCAAGCTAGAAGAAGACAAAGTGCTAAATACCACACAATTACTCCAGTTTCTTCCATTCCACTTGACCGCTGAAGAGCCACTTTGCTGAAATACAGAAGACCTTTTATAAGCACAGAATCAATTGTCTTTGCTTAAAAAAAATCAATGGGCTTTGTAATGTGTTTCATCCAAAGGGAAACTTCAGTATTGTGGCTTAGTTTTGTAACCTTTTTATTGATAGATAATGTGTGAAGGGACAAATATTATTCCTTCAAAAGTCAATCTTTGAACTTCAATGGTCCCCAAGGCAGTCCTTGAAAAAAGGACTAGAAAAAAAAAACATTACTCATGATTTTCTCCCAATGTTTTAATTTCCTGTATGTAAAGAAATTAAACTTCTATCTGGTACCTTCATGTGACTCATTATGGGGTTTTCTCAAAATTAATATAATAAATAAGACATTTAACTTTGTATTATGTAATGACTTATTCAAAACCTGTATATATAATCATACTGAAATAGTCTGATTCTTCATATCTTCAAAGAGTTTCATAGAATTCCATTATTTCCCAGAGTAACATGCATAGATCTATAATCCAAGTCCTAAAACCAGAGAGATGAATCAAGGTTAAGAGTACTTTTTACTCCTCCAGCGGACATGAATTTGGTTCCCAGCACTCTCATCAGGTGGCTCACAACCACCTATAACTCTGGATCCTGGGAGATCTGATTCCTCTGGCCTTTTCAGGCATCCATACACTCACACCCTCACTCTCTCTCTCACACACACACACACATACACACAAAAAAAAACCCAGCATGACATTCGGAAAACTTCTAAAACTGAAAATGTTAAAGCACCATGCTGGAGAAAACATTATTGAGCTTTCTCAAAAAAATTAAAAATATATCCACCATATCATCTAGCAGTCCCACTATTTACTGTGTATTTAAAAGAAATAAGATCAAATTGTCCAAAAGACATTTACTCTGTCAAATTATTCATTCATATTTACAGCTATTCATAAAAGTCAATACAAATAAACAACTTAAGTTTTCATCAAATGATGAATGGATAAAGGAAATATATTACACAACTCACTAGAATACTATTCGTCATGTATATTTATTTTTCTAAATATAACATATCATATAAATAAAGTATATAACATATAACATGTATGTTATATATTATATACATTATATCTCTATAATTATAAGTAGCATATTTGCATGTTATATTTATATTTTATGTTATAATTACATTTTACATTAAATATTATTTGTGTGTGTTATATTTCTATAATATATACCCTGCTCAGTCTGCATAAGACTACCTGCATGGATATTTTGAAGACTGAGTATTTGGCACTGGACAACCAATTGGTGTTCTCCTAGGGGAAGACCAGCTTTTCTGCTTCCAGCTTTACTCAGTTTCTTATCATTCTTTGTGAAAGGCTGAGGCCATGTGTGGCTTTCCCCATCTAATTGGACATGTACATTGGTGCCATCCTTGTTCAGCTCATGTTTTGGCAATCATGTCATGGAGGCTTCATATGTCCAGCTTCTGACTTTATTAGGAAATATAATCTCATAGAAAGCTACCCGATCCTCTTGCTTTTTACAATCCTTTGGCCCCTCTGAAATGTCCCCTGAGCCTTGAGTTTGGGAGTGGTGGCTGATATTTTTATCATTTGTTCATTTTATTTTATGTGTATGAGTGTTTTGCTTGCATATGTGTGTGTGAGCATATGCATGCCTGGTGCCCTTGGAGGCTATAAAAGAACACTGGACCCCCTGGAATTGAAATTACAGACAGTTATGAGCCACCATGTGAGTAGTGGTCCTCTGCAAGAATAGTGAATACTCCTAACCTCTGAGTCATCTCTCCAGACCCTATTTGTTTATTTGAATTTGCTTATTATATTCAATTTTTATTTATTTATTTTTTGTGTGTGTGCACATTCCACTGTACATAGATGTTTTCAGAGGACACTTTCAGTAGTCAGTTTTTTCCGTCTACCATGTGGGTTACAGGAGTAAAACTCAGATTGTCAAGCTTGGCAGCTGGCACTTTCATGTGCTGAAACATCTCCCAAACTCTATAATTCTCTAACATTAACTTATACCTAATAATTATTAATAAATTATTATTTAAATGTTATTGCACTGAACAACTAACTTGTAAAAGATACATTGTTAAAAATGAGAGCCTTTTCAGGTAGTTCAACTCACCTACAATAGGTAAACATTTGAATCAAAATATTTATCTGTCATGGTTCTACTTTCTATTTATGGGAGTGAAAATGAGGGAAGGTATACAGATAAAGAGAAAGGAGCTCAACTCATACGTATACTTATAATAAAATTAAAAAATAAAATGGGAAATAAAAAAAGCTGTCCATTATTTCACTGTGGCTCAAAAATCCTTTCAACAATACCTGTTTAAAAAGTCAGTCAATACTTACTCCCAATACTGTTCACTGGGAAGTTGTCCTGGCTGAAAAACTTCACTACCATTCAAGCAGGTCAGGTTGTTGATAGTTACCCAGCTTATATTCATAAACATGTCTCCTGTCATTGTACTCACATTACAGCCTGTTACTAAAAAAAAAAGATAGATACATGAATAAATCAGCAGAGAGAGAGAGAGAAAGTGAGAGAGAGAGGGAGAGAGAGAGAGAGAGACTTAATTGTAGAAGAATATTTTCATGGGGAGAAAAAAAAGGATTTTAATGAGAAATACTTAAGGTACTACTTAAATTGTTACTTTGTAAAGGTAGAATAAATAAATTCCAAATAGCATAGGGCATGTAACATTCAATATATCAAATCTTCGCCACCACCAATTGGTAAAGCCCTTAATTCTAACTATCCATTTAAACTGTGGTCATTTTTACAGGAATAACTTGCTACAGAATAAGAGGTATTGCGGTTGACACTTAACGTTTAGCAGAATTTTCAGTAGGGAGTCTCAGCTAGTCTGTATAGATATGCTACCCCTTTAAACCCTTCCAAAACATTAAAGCTTAATCTGATGGGTATGGATAATCCCACCTGCCGTATCCTCCAGTAATAATATTAAGAATCTCATATTGACATTGGCAGCACCCAGTCTTTACTACTACCATTTAAGACTGTTAATGATAGCACTTAAAAAACCACTCTCTTTTTCTTAGTATCTCTTGCTTAGAACCTAGATTTGCAAGAATTACTTCTAGGTGTGGCTTGGCTTTCCATAAAAGTGTACTTAAATTGGTTAGAAAATTATTTAATCATTTGAACTTACTTAGCCAATATGACAGAATTATAAAGTTAGTAATATTTTAAAAGTAAGACAATGGAATTTACCTATTGGTGATCTGCTACAGTTATCGTCTGCCCAAGAAGAACAATTGGCCCATGGTAGTACACTTTGAAAAGAAGCAAACAAGTAGTAAAGACTGTAGGCGATTATGACATTGTAATAGATTGTCACAAAAATGGATATCAAGACCATTGTGATTCCCACACCTGGAAAACAAGACCGTTAAAAGGTGAAGTTTATTTTGCTGATCCATAGGAGAGCTGAGTTCAATTTTCACGAAAGCCACAATAAATGAAAATTCTCTTTCACATAAGTCTGTGTTGTAATTCAGAAAAAAAGTGTGTCTGAGATGGAGGGTGTTTCCCTGTCAATATGTTTCTTCCAAAATTTAAAAGACTCGTTTGTTATTATCTTTAGCTGTGTCTGTGCACTGCACACCTATGAGTGTGCACACTTGAGTGCAGGTGCCTGCCGATGACAGAGGCATTGGATGCCCTGAAACTGGAGATACAGGAGACTCTGAAATGCCCAGTGTAGGTGCTGGTAACCAAACTTGGACTCTCTGGAAAAGCAGCGAGTGCTTTTAACTGCTGAGCAATCTCTTTAGCTCCCTCTTCCCAAATGCAAACCAATTTTGATGACTGGATTTTGGAGAATTTTTCAATTCTTAGAAAAGGCTAGTATAGCTAAGGGGGAAAGACTTAGATTTAGCCACAAAATTCTATTCAATTATTCTTTCTAATTAAGTCTTCAAATCCCTCTGAGAGCAGGAAATACAGGTATTAAAAAGTTTCAATGCTCAAATCCACCAAAATTTACATCTTTATCTGTAAAACAATTGTCAACTAGTAAAGGAAGATTGTGATGTAACATCCTTAAAGGACACAATCCAGTACTTCTACACAAAAGTACACAGAAAAAGTACAAATTCAGAAACAATCTGAATTTAAACTCCAAAAGTTCTGTTACTCAGTAGGTTCATAATGCAGTTTAGCATAATGATTATAACTCCAATTATTAAGACTAGTATTTGAAATAGCTTCTCCAATCATTCAGTAAAGAATTCTATTTACCTCCTTATTGTATATTTCTAATGTTGTGTTGAGGTTTTTACAAATGGTTTGCAGTAAATAGTAAATGCTAAAATTATATTAAGTCTTTAAAAATAAAATCAAGGCATTTTTTTCATCTAGACTGTTCTATTCTCCTATTAGGAATATCCAAGAGGAAATAGTGGCCTGCCATCCAACTTTTCTCAATGATGTTTTATAAAAGATATGCAAAGACAGTAAAAACAAATCTGTACAAGAAATAACTTAAAAGACAGAGCCTTGGGGCTGGAGAGATTACACAGTGATTAAGATCACTTGGTGCTCATCCAGAGGACCAGGGGACAATAGTTCAGCACCATATTGGGTGTGTCACAACTTCCAGTAACTCCAACTTCCAGGTGATCAAATGCCCTCTTCTGGCCTCTACAGGCACTCACACACATGTGGCATATACTCATGTGCACATATACACACATTAAAATAAAAATGGTACATTGATGAAGCTGTTATCTTGAAGCTAATGCACAACAGGACTATGACAAAATAATTCAAAAGGTAAAAATTGTCAAATAATTACACAATGACAATCATCTTATAGTGTCATTCCTATATGTGCATCCAGGTAAAAGTAAAAGTTAATATTTAAAGACTGGAAAGATGGCTCTATAGGTAAACAGTTTGCTATATATAGAGAGGAATAAGTACATGAATTTAGCATCTGTGTTTAAAAAAAAGCCTGTTGTAATAGAGTGCACTTAAATTTCACCACTGAGAAAGTAGAAATAGCATCTCTGCAGTGCTTACTGTCCATTCAGTCCAGTCTAACAATGAGCTTCAGGTTTAATGAGAGACCATTTCAAGGGAATTAAGGAAGATACATGACATTGACTTTCATGCTCTATATCCAGGCGCACACTTATGTGTATACAAATGCATATGTATATGTGTATGTGCAATATATATACAAAAGAAGCAATGCCATCTTTGCCCTAGTGTGTCCTTTTTCTGTACTTTTAGTTGAAAGAGAAAACCACATTTTTCATGCACTGTGTGATGATTGAATTGCATATATATTGTGTAATGAATTAATCTTCTGATTGGCAAGCATATTACCCCCAGGTGGCTATCACTTTATTGGTAAGAATACTTAATGTCCACTGTTTCTCTTTATGAGATTATAATATATGAATATAATATATTGTTTGTTCTCAACGATAGAAACTATACTATGATTTTTATTTTTTCAATTCTCCAATTTATAGACCTATAGATTGTAGGTTTCTTAGATTTGTTTCTTTTTCTGAGACAGGGCTTCTCTGTGTAGCCCTGGCTGCCCTGGAAGTTACTCTGCAGTTTAGGATGGCCTCCAACTCAAAGATCTGCCTGCCTCTGCCTCTGACTCCTGAGTGCTGGAATTAAAGGCATACGCCACCACACCCAGCAAATTTATTTCTCTCAACTATAACTATATCTTTTTTTGACCAATATGGCTTATTCCTTCCTGTCCACTTCTGCCTCTGTGAGCATTTTCTGCTCAACTTCTATGAAATCAAATGTGTCAGGCTTTAAATTCTCTTTTCTTCCACCAAGTGAAAACAGATAAATGTGTATGTAGACCAACAATCATGATGCTGAAAAGTCTTAAATACCAACCTTGAAACAATGGCAGAATCCTCCAAACTGAAACTGGACCTAAGCTAGCAAATTGTCCTAGTGAACATTCCAGAAAGAACAAAGGTAAACCAGCCAATGCTAGCATAATTGTATACGGTATCAAGAAAGCACCTGAAAAGCAAAGAGATAAATTTATTATTACATTTGAAAGTCTTGGTGGCACTTTGACAAAGAACATAGCATTTTAAAGTGTACTAATACAGTGGAAATGGAGGGATTTGGCTTCAGGTCCCAAGATTTATTACTTTTTGTGAGAAAGTAACTTGAATGTATTAACTGAGTTTTCCTTTAATCAAACGGTAATGGGAATGTTTCCTAGTGAAGTTACTACAATTACTAAAAATAATAGCTTATAAAAAGTCAGTCAGTAAAGTTTAGAGATCAGAGACTACAGAGCCAAATAGATATACATTAAAATTCTGGCTCTATCATCTATCAATTATTTGACCTAGGTTGTTTTACTGGCCTGTGAACTTTTCCTTCTTCTAAAGGGGGACACAGTACTAACTCATTACTTCCTGTCTCGAGTTCAAATGCTGGGCCTCTAGCAATTATCAAATTTACTAATTTACTGATCAAACAGTGGCAACACTGCAAGCACATGACATGTGTTCAATGTTAGCTCCCTTTCCTCTGTCCCTTCCTTCTTACCTTCCTCCCTCCCTTCCTCCTCTCTCTCTCTTAACAATACATGGATTACTTTTAAAACTTAGAATGTAAATGGTAAGTAGAGTTGAGAATGCAAATTACTGCAATTAGGTTCATAATTCTTTTAGTAGTCACAAGGCTCTTTAGTCAATGTTACTAAGAAATGGTTTTGTTAGAGACTGACCATCTGAGACTTAGCTAACTTCCACTGTCACAGGAGCTAATCTCCCATAAAAGAATATCAGATAATCTCCCATATAAGAATATCCAACTCCTCCCCTCCTTTTAAACTTTGTGTTTTACTTTTTCTGCCCATATTTGGTTTATGATACTTCTCACTAGAATGTTTACCAGGCTACAAGATGAAACAGAGACATAATGTTAAATATCCCAGCCAAACAATCCAGCACTCTTGGCAACAGTTAATAAAAACAAGGTAGAGTTCAACAAATGAAAACAGGATTTCCGATATGTATACCTCATTTATTCTGTCACAATTATCCTTAATTATTTTCCTTGATACTCATGAATTCAAAAAGTACTTAGAGAATGTAGATTATCTATTACCCAAATGACGTGACCTTTAAAATTTGAGTACCAATGTGTCATATTAACTTTTAGAAGATACATAAAAAGAGGCAATAGCATAGGAAAAATATTTTTTTCATTTGCATTATCTTTAAAATTTTTCTATTAAAGTTAGTTTTATTCATTTCCTGGAAAGTTATGCTGATTATTGGGTGAATTATGATGTCAAGTTACAGGGTATATCTTCTGGCAAACACAATTGCAAGAATCTCAAAAGAGCCTTGGGACACCAAAAAGATTGTGATTATTGACTCATTTTCCTGCTAATACTTACATCAAAACCACTATTGGATGACCTAAGTCCTAGATGAGGAAATTTAAACTACCCACACTTAAAGTGTTTAATAAACAGAGCTGAGAGCTCCTTTTTTGAGTCTCTGATGGCCAGTGTGAATGTTTTAAATACTCAGTTAACAAGAAATGTGGTTAACACATCACCACACACAATCCTATTGTGCCAAGAGAAAAATAATTATACTGGCAAAATTCCAAAGGTGTCCAATTATGAAATACAGGCACATGTCACCTCTATACTTCTAACAGAGCCTGTAAGCACAAGTAAGTTAAAATGCTGTAATTGAAAAGTTATTTCCACATTGCTAAAATATTGCACAACTCATTCTCTTTCCCTTTGTGTTTCATCTTAGTTATCTTTGTGTTCTGATTAGGTCTACTGAATGATCTACAAGATATAAAAAGTATTACTTTTGCAACAATAAAACTGCATGGCCTTGAACTAAATTGTATTTTATTTATATTCTGTATGGTTGGTGGCATTTGAAATATATGTAAATTAATAGTATAATGAAATATTAATTAATAACCATTCCTTTCCACACTTAAATTATAAAAATGTCTTACTCTAGCTAAAAGTTTCCTTTAGCTTTTAAAAAAGATTTAGATGTCTCTCTTTTTACATACTTCAACTTCAAGTTCAACCTGAGTATGAATATACTTTTAAAAGTCCTAGTTGAAGATTATATGATCTCTCAAATCAACTCAGAAGTACTGTATGTAACACTCTTATCAAGCTTATATCAGAGTTTTCTGAAGCAGTTTTCAAACTTGAGCTAGTAGCTTACAGTTCATTAGTAAATGTTTTGCTTGTTTCTCATTCCCTTTACTAACTGAAAGTATCATATACCTCTCTTTGGTTCATATTTTATTATATGCATATAAGTATTATATATGTGTATATTATATTTACTTATATGTGTTGTATTACATAAGTATTTAGAATTTTCTATATGTGGATATAAACATACATACATACATAAAGAAGTTATACAACATCCCACTAGAGGAAAAAGAACGGAAGAAAAAACCTACCTCCACCATTGATGTAAGTCAGATATGGGAATCGCCACACATTTCCCAATCCCACTGCATATCCAACCATAGACAGAAGATAATCCGATTTTTTGGACCAGTTACCACGGTCTGTATTTTCATCATTTTCACCAACATGGAAGTTCTCAGATGAAGCTGTCACTTTCTAAAAAAGGAAATATTTATCAGTATCTTCCCTTTCTGTTACGAATTCCACAGAAGCATAATTTCATAAATTCACAGTGTTATAGAAAAGAAGGGTGAAAACTCATAGGGAATTCTTCTCAAAATCAAGTAGATTTTCTCCATCCAAGTATTAACCAGGCCCACTCTGGTTAACTCTGCTTAACCTCTAAGGTCAGATTGGGAACACTGAGAGTGTACAGCAGTAGACGAAACTAAGAAGATTTCTGCTGGTAGCTACGTTTATTTAGCATTTGCTTCTTCAAATTAAAGAAAAAAGTTTGTAAGTAAGATGTTTTTACTGCCCTTTCAGCTAACATCGCCTGAAGTTTAATGTCACACCAACATAAAGTGCAAATGAAAGTAGTCAAGTGTCAAATACAAAATTTTTCAGTATAAATTCAGAGTCAACATTCCTAAGATTATAGCAGGTTATTGAGAAGTATCAGATATAGCTTCTAATTAAATAAAATTAGTCCATACACTTTCTATGCTCTGATTAGAGCACATAATCGGTGTTTTCCCAAAATCACGAAATAATATGCAGAGACAAATTTTCCTGTCCCACCAGGTGGAGCAACTCTCTCTCTCTCTCTCTCTCTCTCTCTCTCTCTCTCTCTCTCTCTCTCCCCCCTTAGGGAGGGTGGGAGGGTTTCTCTTCCAACCTCTTAGAATGCTCCTAGGGTCAGATAAGGACAGTCCATTTTTGCATTCCCCTGCAGCATATGAGCACAGTGTAGAGAAAGACAAAGAACGGCATTCTGTAGGGTTCCCAAGGTACAGGGTGAAGTGCTCTAAGTCTAACTACCAGCATAAAAGTTGTTTTTCACATCGTTTCTGGGACGTGGAAAGTTTGTGGGAATATAGCAGGCATACTTGAAAAGAGTTGAAGAGAAAGAAATATGAGAAAAGGAACAACTACAGAAAGCAAAACTTGAGACTCCCCCGCCCCTTGTTTCCCCTCTCTGTCCCTCTACACCTCCAGAGACTTCCAGACCCCTACCTCCTTCTCTCTGCACTTGAAGAAGCTCGGGCACTTCAATCTGTCCATGGTTCACTCACTCCCTTGGCTTGCTCCGCCTCGCCTCTTCTCACAGTCTGGCTGAGCTCGACTGGTGGCAGGTGCACACTCCCCCGTTGCTACCTGCCAAAGTGAGCCACCTTGCCCAGGGGTGGGACCATTTATGGAGGGAAGCTCTCTCCTCCCCCTTCCTGACGCTCAGTCCTTTCAATTACTGGAAGGGACCAAGTGAGCCTCTGGTTTTTTCCCCAGGTAATCCTGCATGTAGCAATTCCCTGCCCCAGCCCTAGGAAAGGGCTGGGCTGTGAGCGAGTGAGCTGCGCAGCCAGAGTCAAAGAAGACGGACAACTTTTGACTCAGAGCAGTGCAGGTGCCTGAGCAATCTATCTTGCTTTCCTGGATACCTGGCTTCCTCCTAACCTTGCTTCTCAGTCAGGCCTCTGTCCTGGGGCCAAGTGCTGATCGCCCCTGGTGCTGGAGGTGGGAGAGACCCAACCCGTGGGGCTCATTTTGTTTGCTATGATTTTGGTGAACAAAAGACTTCTCTGGGTCTCTGATTTCTCCAAGTTTTGATCCTCACTAGAAAGCTCTTCATCACGTGGGGCAAAAACTGCTCCCGGAGAGAAAAGCCCCTGAATTGGGCACTTTGAAATGTAGCCAGTTAAGATAAGATTACCACGCTGCCTCTACCTGAAGAGAGTGACTTTGAATCTATGTCTCTAGCTCCTTTCTCAGTCTTCGGGACAGTCTTGCCTTTTACAAGGATTGCTTTGTGTGGTATTGCAAAGAAGCCAAACACAAACAAATTATTGAGCAGGTTTATGGGAAATTTGAACCTTAACAAAAGACTTCACTCAGCCGAGAAAGGTGAGGCCTAGAAAGTAAACTATAAGGAAACTTCCCCGCTTACCACAGAGAAAAGCCTTACTGCAATTCTGATCATGGGTCCAGCACCTCTTCATCAAAAACTCAAAGAATCTGGACTCAACCTGTCCATTCAGAGAGGGTGGCAGTTCCACCTAATTGCAAAAATTCATGCAATCTGAGGAACCAGCAGGGACTCAAATTTTCATTTATGTATAGTTCCTTTGTTCCACACTGGAAGACAAGAATTTTCCATTTGCAGCAGAAATATGCCCTCAGGAGTCCAGGTGTGTAGAGTAAAGTAGAATGGGATGTCCAGAGGTTGTGAACAGAATGTATGAATTCCTTGACCTTGGTGGTGACTATAACTCAGACTGGTTTGGGATTTTATATGCACACATACTTACGTCACATACACATAAGTGTATGCGGAGAAATAGAAAAAATAGAATAACAGTATTCTAGACTACTGGTATGACCTAATACGGGAGCTATTAGTCTATCTTAACCATAGAAGAAAAGGTCTTTATAAAAGAGCTGAAAAGCAAATCAAACAGTGTTCAAGGAACTAGCAAAGTCTCATAGAAAGGAAAGTATGCCAGCATAGGCCAGTGTAAACAGCTGGTAACTAAGGAAAGAGAAGAAGAAGCAAGATTCTACTAATAGGCAAATTGTGGGGAGCAAAATGGATGTAGAACAGGCAACAAAACACAGTTGAGAAGTTTTAGTCACTCCTGAGATTAAAGCAACTAAGACACAAAATTTATGGTAAAAGGTATGCTAGTGAATATATACATTTTGTGGTTTATTGGGAAAGAACATTTTTCCCATTAGTAGACATGGCACTTCATGACTCTGCTAATGTCTACATATTTGCATGATATCATCTTTTGCCATTCTTTGTCACTGACTCTTAAGCTTGGGTGTCCTATTCTGTACATGGTGTTTCTCACCTATGTGAATTTTTTTACTGGTGGTTTTTTTTCCTTCTGGAAATTCCCACCCTCCTCCATACTTGGTGAACTACTACTCAGTCATGCTTTAAACTTGTACTTAGCTGTCATCTTCTCTGGACCTTTCCACAGAGTTTCTGTCTGTATTACAACACACTATATTTGCATGTTTCTCTCTGTATTCCTATGCTACTCTACATTCATGGGAAATTGTGTCCTTTGAGTACCAAGAAGCATGTCTTAAACCTCCTTGTGTTTTAAGCACTAGAGCCCAGTGCAGTTCAACAAATGTATATCATTTGCCTAAGAGCTGTATGTGATAGTATGGGGCCTGTAATCCCAGTACTTGAGACATTGAGGCAGGAGGAGGAGTTTAATGTCATCCTTGGCTTTACAATGAGTTCAAGACCTGTCTGGGTTACAGGGCACTCTATTTAAAAACAAACAAAAGTGTGACTCAGACATGCCGTTTAATGACTTTACTACCAAAGCAAAGGAAAGCAAAACTGGTGTTAAGAATTCTCTCTCCAGGACTAGAAAGATGGCTTGGCAGTTAAGAGGACTTGTTCTGACAGATGATACAGGTTCGGGTCTCCACACCCACACTAGGCAGCTGAAAACTCCCTGTAACTTCAACTCCAGAACATCCAATGCCTTATTCTCATCTCCTAGGGCACATGCACGTACAAGGTACAAATTCAGACAAGCAGGCAATACACACACATAAAATAAAAATAATTGTAATAGAGTTCACTTCCAAGACATCATGTAATTTCAGAGAAATGTTTTGTCTCCTTTTGGGTCTAGCATATCAATTGATGAACAAATCACATTTTAAAATTAGAAGGAAGATAGAAGTAGAGCTGGTGAAATGGCTTAGAGGGCAAAGGTGTTGATCAACAAACCTGACATCCTGCAATCTCCAGGACCTACATCACGGTGAGGAAAGAACATTCTCCTGAAAGCTGTTTTCTAATTTCCATATGTGCATAGGATCTCTCTCTCTCACACACATGCATGAACACACACACACACACACAAATATATGTTAAGTATATAAAATGAGTGAATAAAAAAGTCAGAGAACCATAGAAACTCATTCACAGGAATATGAATGAGCAGTTGCGGGAGCTCTTAACAGTATTACGTTGACAGTTGGAGTAACAAGAAATAAAGTTAAGGAAAGAGTAGAGGTGAGTGGTCTGTGCAATGAATGCATAAGCTATGGTCCAAGAGGCAATAATAAAGTGGGAATGGCACTTGGCAAACTCTGCTTTAGCTGTGACTAAAAACCCTAAATGAAAAGGAATGACCCATATGCAATGGGTTATGCAGTGTTGAACTTTCAACTAGCGGCTTTCTCTTTCTTAACACCTACATACCACAGACGAGAAAATAACTGACTTTCTAAAAGTCTTATTGTCAGAAATAGGAAGATTGATTTAGAAGTAAGTAACCATCAGCAAGTAAAGATCAATTTCTAATTGCAGTTTTGCTCAGGGAGCAAGGACAGAGAATTCTTCCAATGCTCTCCTACAGAATATGAAAGCTAGCATTCCAGAGAAAGCTTGGAACAAAACAGGAGCTAGTGATATCTAATTCCATAATTGTTCTTTCTAAATTCATAAGGTAAATCCATAAACAATCATGACGTTTATTTTTACTTTGGCTGTAGCATACCACAGTCCTTTCTTAAAGTTCAAACTAACTTTCAACTGAAGTGGACATACATAGAAACAGTACACAGGTTATGATTCCAGCTTGATGAGTTTTCACAAATCTCACACTGTCGTCCGACTGGCAACATGTTCACGAAGCAATAATACCAGCACGTTAGAAGAAGCTACATTACCTTTGCAAGTTTGATCACTATTTTGACTTTTAAAACTACAAATTGCTTTTGACAAATTGTGAGCCTTATAAATGGAAAATGACAATATAGAGACATCTTGAAAGATTTATCTTTTATTTTTGTTTTATTAGAACATATTTGATTTATTCTTTATGTACATTGCTGTTTTGCCTGCAGGTATGTATATATGAGAGCATCAGATCCCTTGAAACCGGGGATACAGACAGTTGTGAGATGGCATGTGGGTGCTGGAAAATAAACCTGGGTCCTCTAAAAGAGGAACAGTGCTCTCTTAACCTCTAAGCAATCTCTCCAGTCCTCTGCCTTTTACTCTTAAGTATATGTTGTACACAGAGAGAGGTATGTGCATGTGTGTGCAGGTACCTACAGTATCTATAAACATTCAATCCTTCTAGAGCTGGAGTTTCAGACTAGTTAGCATAGTAACTGCTCTACTTAAATAAGAAGCTAAAGGCAACAAAATCTTAGCAGTTTTCTGGGCATCCCTGAGGCATTGAGCTTGCTATTTGATCAGTGTTAATGACAACGTGAAATAATCAAGCATCATTTGATTTTCCATATCAAAAAGAATATACATGAGTGAAATTATATTTAGCTTTTTTCTCAGTAAGACTTAATATTCTTCTCTGTGTGTAGTCATTGAAGAAGATAGAGCTTAGTCCACACTTGTGCCTCCATCCAATGTGTGTGTCACTTTGAGAATTTACAGGAGCCAACTGTGAGAAATTGAGATTCAGGTGAGGCATATGAGGACAGGCAGTGCTGAGTGCCCCAGGACAGCTAGATTTCACCAGCTATAGCCTAGATTCAAATACAGACAAATTTTCTCTAAAGTATTGCAGATACACAGAGTCTGGTACCTAAAGGAACACATAAATGTGCAGATAACCATCAGGCACAAAGCACCATTTTCCTAAATCTCTTTCAACAAACTAAATCCTTAATGTGGCATATTCAAATTAATTGGACAATGGAGATGATGCAGCTTTGGGAGTAAACTTCAGAAAACTCTTTGTTAACCCAGCAATATTCATTCTTTCACACTGAAGCTGAATATTAGTAGCCACTAGACTCACTCTTTAAGTTGTTAGTACCAGTGAATAGTTTGCCCTGACCTGGTTGCTTGTTACTATTGTAATGGGTCATTTAATGCACCCCGGAAGCATGGATGTTTCCACTTTTAAATGTGTTGCTGTAAGGGGTGTTTGTTTCTGGTTTGTATACACAGTAGTTAACTTTGGCACACTTTAAATCTAGGCCCCTAAGAAAGTAGGAGACTGACATTCTTGATTTCCCACCTAAGAAGATCATTCACTTCACATGTTCAAAAAATGATGGCTCTTGTGATCTACTTGAAAAATAAACATGAAAATTTCAGTATGGAACTCAATTGTAATCTTTCTACTACTAGATTAATATGAAGAGATGAAAATAAATCAAAGAATATGAATTGCTAATACTGTGTTCATGAATAATTGTTTTCAATATCTTTCTGTCCATTTAGGGCTAAACTGTATCACTACATATTCTAAAGCATTGTAAAAGGAAGTGCTACAAGGCAATCATGTGGAGCTTTAATTTTTCT